AGATAAATAATATGTTTAAAGTGCTGGAGACACATTGTAACATGTTGGCTAGCTTTTAAATCAAGACGGCTCAATAATATAGCCAAATGTTTTATTTTGGCTTATGTTACTGTAAGGTTCTAACTGTTTTATGAACCTTGGTTAAGCATTTACTTTTTCAAACAAAATACAAGTACATTCATTTAAATCCATTTAATATGATTTGTCAAAAATGCAATTAAGCCTGACCCCAAATCTGCTGTGTGATTTTAACAATACAAGATGACGTAGTTTGACTCATTGTGGTATGCTTTATTTGTATTATTAAGTAAAGGTGTTTGTTTGTTAACCATCAACAACTGTATTAGTATGAAAAGCTTATCAAGTATGCTGCTGTTTCTGTCATTGGGGCGGTGGTGGCGAAGTCGATGGGGCGGTGGTGGCGAAGTCGATAGGGACTTGGCTTGGCAACTGGAAGGTCACCAGTTCAAGTCCCGGCAAGATCAAGTGCTACCGAGGTGTCTCTGAGCAAGGCACCGTTCCCCACACTGCTCCCCGGGCGCCGTTCAAAATGGCAGCGCACTGCTCCTAACACTAGGATGGGTCAAATGCAGAGAAACAATTTCCCCACGGGGATTAATAAAGTATATCAAATCAAATTGTAAAATATGCATTAAGGGTTTAATGTATGAGAACATTTTCAGGCCAACAGATTTCTAATGGTGACCAGCTTTGTCAGTCCTTTTGTGTTTCTTAGGTTGGACTATGAGTCCTAAAAAAAGGTACACATCCCACTGTTAGAGCTGTGGGATATGTATGAGCTGCTTAGGTAACCATGCTGTTGCCTCAGCTTGCTCAGTGGGTAGTGGAGGAGACTTTCATGCAGTCTTGGGTCTAATCCAGAGTTATCCAGAGAAAATGATTCAGCATCTGACTCTTCATATCAGGCCTGAGTGTTTAGTTTATGCAACAGGATATGGTAAATCCAATGTTTGTTTCCTATTCCAAAAATAACATGTGCACAGGATGCGAACATTTGCCTTGCAGAATAGTTTTATAACATGGATGTTGCATATCATCCAACATGCCTGAATTATTAATCATTAAATAGGACCTGGAGTGTTCAGAAACACCATTTGTGCCAGTACAAACAATGTAAATGTATGTTAGGCTAACAATAGCTTCTACCAGCAAGATCGCCTTATTAAATCTGCATTCTAATTCAATTATTCTCATTGAATAGATTCAGGTTATGGTGAACTGAAGCCAATGCTGATCTGTAGGTGAATATTTCTTTATGTTGGGCATGTAGAACAGTGGAGCGTAATGGGTCCCTTTGTAATCTTCTCAGTTGTACAGGCAATCCATAACTGCTCACTGAGGCAGAAATAATATTGGATTCAGTCCATTAGGGGATTCAGAGTCCTATGGGATCTGTGAGCAGTTGGACACACTTTGTCATACTAACTCTCTTCTCTTGCTGTTACATTGTCTCTTCTTTTGTTTTCCTCTCTCTGACTCACCTTCTGTCTCATTTACTCATTCTATCACCCCAAAACCAAGCATATTTAAAAATGGTATGAGGGCATAAATGTCATATCCCTTGTAAGGGTTAACCTAATGTGAAAAGCATTGTTATTATCTCTTTACTAAGAAATAGCTAAAACACGTCCTATATTTTTTAAGTTCTTCTGACTTGCTTACCCAATATTCTGGGTGTTCTTTTCTGAATGTAACTACAAATAAAAATAAACTATGGAATGAAAAAGCCACAGTCAACATCCTTAAGAAAGACATAGAAATGTTTCCCCAAACATTGTATAAAACAAAATACAGTTTCACAGGTTTCAAAGAAGTGATAAGTAACAACACTGCTTCAGTGTGTTTTTAAATTCATTATTAACACAAAATGGCGGTCACACATCAAGTGGGAATTGGATAAAATGATTTAGGAATATCAGTGATTTTATCTCTACTTACCGGTGCTGTAATTTCTGGTTTAAGAAATTAACTTTTCAGCTCTCACTTTTTGTCTGGAATATTCAAGGTGGAAACTTTGCAGGAGAATTAAATAAAAAGTATGGCACTTAAGTGAAAATAATGGGAATAAAAGGGAAATAAAGCATGGTTACAATTCAATTAAATAGGCTAATGAACAAGTATTGCGTGTTATTTCCGCCTAGGAAGTTCACTACATAAAGGTACACTTTTATATTTACATTGAGTAAATATTTACAAAGTTCCTGACCCTTTGCCTTGAAGTTCCATAAATCCTTGAAAACAATCAGTCCTAATATTGCTAGAATCTCTATTGAGGCTGTGCTGCTGACATTACTTGGCATTTATTTTATGATCCTGTGCTATGGACTTACTAATACAAAGCATCTTGATCATGTTTTGCTTTAAAGATGTAGTTTATTGTTGGATATCAAGAAACGGAGATGAACAGAGATTTGTGATATTTATGTCGGGAAGAATATGTAGGCCTAACCTTTAAACCAAATATCTGATCAAACTAAAAATAGACAAACTTATGATTGGGATTGCATCTTTTAAAGAACCATTTAAGGAATAATAAAACACACAACAAAACAAGAACACCCTGGACTGTCTGGCTTCCTCTAAAGACTGAAAGGAACTATTGCATCAGAAACATGTCCTAAGGAAATAATAACAAATGCTAACACAGCGATGGGTGTCGACAGCATTGTTTTCTAGTTTGGGTTAAGGAAGCAAAGGGAAATCCTGAGGCAAATGCCTGGCATGGCGGCCCTTGTAATAAATACAGCAGGAAAGAGACTATCAGTAAGCTAACATATGTTCACATTCTTCCACAGATCATAAGGATTGTCTGCAGTCATGCATTAACGTATTAAGCTTCCCTTTTTTATAATGAACTCTCTTAAAGCAGCAGAATGTGTAAAAGAATGTGATGAATATGTTTACATCTGACGGAAGATTCTACCAATCAGAGTAAATGTGCCGGTCTGTGTGTTTTGCAATTCTCCAACACACTATGGGATTTATTATGATTAATTATTTTAGAAAAGGCATTTCATAATATTGTTTGGTGTTCTGTAATATACACTGAACAAAAATATAAATGCAACACTTTTGTTTTTGCTCCCATTTTTCATGAGATGAACTCAAAGAACGGACTGATTTTCTGACCCCCCCAGACCCCCCCAATAAAGCAAAACTGCACGTTTCAGAGTGGCCTTTTATTGTGGCCAGCCTAAGGCACACCTGTGCAATAATCATGTTGTCTAATCAGCATCTTGATATGCCACACCTGTGAGGTGGGATGGATTATCTCGGCAAAGGAGAAGTGCTCACTATCACAGATCTTTTCAGATTTGTGAACAATATTTGAGAGAAATGGTTATTTTGTGTATATAGAAAATGTTTTAGATCTTTGAGTTCATCTCATGAAAAATGGGAGCAAAAACAAAAGTGTTGCATTTATATTTTTGTTCAGTGTAAGTGTTGCCCATTGACAGGCTTCCTATAAGATGTGTGTATTATTTTACTTTATTCTATTTGAAATATTATTTATGTTGGGGAGGGCTTTGTATTATTTTATGCCACCTACTATGATGTCTTATTGTGTAAACATTTAAACCATCTGAGGTTGGTCTGCGAAGTCAGCAGCAGAATGCACTTTGGGTCTGTACAAATTATATTTTCCTACATCTTGTCCAATTGCAAACACGTTATATGATGTAGCTCAGCTAAACCCTGTGTGTGTGTGTGTGTGTGTGAGTGTGTGTGTGTGTGTGTGTGTGTGTGTGTGTGTGTGTGTGTGTGTGTGTGTGTGAGTGTGTGTGTGTGTGTCTAACAGCAACTGCTGAGCCATGATAGTTTGGGACAATAGGGTAAACAGTAAGCAGACACGCAAGAGACAACAACTATCTAATAATAACAATTTCAATTGTTATAGCGCCTTTCAAGAAACCCAAGGACGCTAACAAGGGAGAAAAATTAACAAAACAACAAAATAATAATCACACAGATACACAGGTTGAAAAAACAGGTTGCTGGGTACTATTGTGATGAAACTGCTTTAAAAGGTTAAAAACGCTGGTCCTGTGAAAAATGACAGCTGCACCGTCACATCAGTAGGAGTTGTCACATTTCTTCTTAACATTTATAGCTAAATGGGGAAAGAACATGGAGGAAGATGGTGAAATGTTAGATGGATGTGTGATAGCTTCAATGTGCATTTATAGACATGAAGATAAAGACACATCAATCTCAGAGTACTGGTTCTTTCAGTATGTGAGTTATGCACATCTCACTTTGATTACATAAGAGGTTGGCATGGTTTCGTGGTTTCATCAAAACCCACAAGAAATCAGAATCAGAAACGGGTTTATTGCCAGGTAGGTTCTCACGTATGAGGAATTTGACTTGATGTCATGGTGCATACATACAATATAAAACAAAGATTCTCCATACAAAACAAGAAATCTAATATCAAACAAAAAATCTTTAAGGACACTGTAATAAAATATTACAGTGAAATGTAAGATCATGGGGTTTAAATTTGAGTGTAGAGGAAACAAAGAGGGACCTGGAAGGAGGAATACTGTTTCTGGCTAATAAAATAAGCAGCATTGTAATATAGTAATAATACAGTAGTTCAGTAGATGAGTAAATGTACATACTAGTTATAAAGCACATTCCACCTTTGGTATGCATTTGACCATAACAACAAACATTCATGTTAATTGTAAATGTTCATCACATTTGTACTCTTTATAGACTTGATTGATTTTTAAGAAACAAAGCACTTTTGGGAAAAAAGTCTTCTTCATTCTGTCAAAATATATAAGCCTCCATACAGTTGAACAGATATGCGTTATATTTCTTTACTTTGGAATATAAAATACTAGGTTTCTAGGTTTTTACTCAATGTTGTTCTTGTTAGTAGTGCTTGTTTTTTAAATTGATATTCTGTTTTATCATTCAGTATCTACAGATGGCTTTTTATTTATGCACTTTGTTCTGTTTCTCTGCAGGATGGCTCAAGACAGCGTAAAGAAAGAAAGAAGACTGTATCGTTCAGCAGCATGCCCACAGAGAAGAAAATTAGCAGTGCTAGCGACTGCATCAATGCAATGGTGGATGGCTCTGAGCTAAAGAAAGTGCGATCCAACTCCCGCATTTACCACCGCTACTTTCTTCTTGATGCAGACATGCAGTCTTTGAGATGGGAGCCCTCGAAGAAAGAATCAGAAAAGGCCAAAATTGATGTAAAATCCATCAAGGAAGTGCGAACAGGAAAAAATACAGACACTTTTAGAACTAATGGAACCTATGATCAGATTTCAGAGGACTGTGCCTTCTCAATTATTTTTGGGGAAAACTATGAGTCACTGGACTTGGTGGCAAACACTGCAGATGTAGCCAATATTTGGGTTACAGGGCTAAGGTACCTGATCTCCTATGGGAAACACACCTTAAACATGATAGAGAGCGTTCAGAACTACATGCGCTCATCTTGGCTAGGTGAACTTTTTGATGAGGCAGGCAGTAACAACAGCAAACACATAAATATATGTGCTGCTGTGCAGTTAGTCAAAAAGTTAAACCCGGGCCTTAAACATTTGAAAATAGAACTGAAGTTCAAGGAGCTTCAGAAAGCTAAGGACAAAGCAGGTTCTGATGTGACAAAAGACGAGTTCATTGAGGTCTTTCATGATCTTTGCACCAGACCTGAAATTTATTTTCTCTTTGTTCAGTTCTCTAGTAACAAAGAATTTCTGGATACCAAGGACCTAATGATATTTCTGGAGGCTGAGCAGGGTATGGCACAAGTCAGTGAAGACACAAGCTTAGAGGTCATTCAGAAATATGAACCGTCCAAAGAGGGCCAGCTCAAAGGTTGGCTTTCTCTTGATGGGTTCACCAACTATCTTATGTCTCCAGAGTGCCATCTATTTGACCCTGAACAAAAAACAGTGTGTCAAGACATGAAACAGCCTTTGTCCCACTATTACATTAATGCATCCCACAACACATATCTGATAGAAGACCAGTTCAGAGGTCCTTCTGATGTGACAGGGTATATCCGTGCCCTCAAGATGGGCTGCCGCAGTGTAGAGCTGGATGTGTGGGATGGGCCTGATAATGAACCTGTTATTTACACTGGTCACACAATGACGTCACAGATAGTTTTTCGCAGTGTCGTTGACGTCATCAACAAGTATGCCTTTGTTGCGTCTGAGTTTCCACTGCTACTGTGTTTAGAAAACCATTGCTCCTTAAAGCAGCAGAGAGTCATGTTTCAGCACCTAAAGAAGATTATTGGTGACAAGATCCACATAGACCCTCCAAAACCTGAGGACTGTTACCTTCCCTCTCCATCGGAACTGAAGGGAAAGATCCTGCTGAAGGGTAAAAAACTGAGCACAAACTGCACTGCTTCAGAAGGTGAGGTCACAGACGAGGACGAGGGGGCAGAGATGTCTCAAAGAATAAGCATCGAGTCTGCAGAACAACAGACTATTGCACCCAAAAACTTCCAGCTGTCAAAAGACCTCTCTGATCTGGTGACTTTGTGTAAGTCTGTGGAGTTCAAGGACTTCCCAACATCTTTCCAGAACCAGAAGCAATGGGAGCTTTGCTCTTTCAATGAAGTTTTTGCCAGTCGCTGCGCCAGTGACCTCCCTGGCGACTTTGTAAACTACAACAAGAAGTATCTTGCTCGAGTTTACCCTAGCCCAATGCGGATTGACTCCAGCAACATGAATCCACAGGATTTCTGGAAGTGTGGTTGCCAGATTGTGGCAATGAACTACCAGACTCCTGGCCTGATGATGGATTTAAACATCGGCTGGTTCCGTCAGAATGGGAACTGTGGCTATGTGCTGCGTCCCGCCATCATGAGGGAGCATGTTTCATATTTTAGTGCCAACACTAAAGATTCAGTGCCTGGTGTTTCTCCACAGCTCTTACACATCAAGATCATCAGTGGACAAAACTTCCCAAAACCCAAAGGCTCAGGTGCCAAAGGAGATGTAGTAGACCCCTATGTGTATGTGGAAATACACGGCATTCCGGCTGATTGTGCCGAACAAAGGACTAAAACGGTCAATCAGAATGGGGACAACCCTCTGTTTGATGAAAGCTTTGAGTTTCAGATAAATCTCCCTGAGCTTGCAATGGTGCGCTTTGTGGTGCTAGATGACGAATATATTGGTGATGAATTCATCGGCCAATACACCATCCCCTTTGAGTGTCTTCAGCCAGGTTTTCGCCATGTACCGCTACAATCTCTGACAGGGGAGGTTTTACAACATACCTTGTTGTTTGTTCATGTGGCCATAACCAATCGAAGAGGAGGCGGCAAACCACACAAAAGGGGACTGTCTGTACGAAAAGGCAAGAAGAGTAGAGAGTATGCCAGCATGAGAGTGCTGTTGGTCAAGGCTCTGGATGATGTCTTCAAAACAGTCCTGCTGCCTCTGAGGGAGGCTACAGATCTCAGAGAAAACATGCAGGTAAGAAATTAAAGGAAACTCCATTGAATGCTTATTATATTCAATAGTCTCCTTTGATGTGGCACCAGTGATTTAACAGTATCATTGTGAATTATTCGTCCATCTTCCAGCATGAGATTGTTTCTTATAGTGAAGGGTAGACTTGTAGACTGAAGAAAATGTAACCCCAAGTCAAGAATAGATTATAACCAGATCTACTACAAAAAGTCTTGAGCATCTAAAAAAGGAACCCACCATGGAAAGAAAAACAAAAAAACACCAAGCTTGACTAAATCAGATGTAATCTATTCCTTATGTCTTAGCCAATAGTAAAAACAAATGTGGGAAGAAAGTTGAGGGACCTTGATGATTTTCCTTTTTGAATTGTAGATTATTTGATGACGTTCAAATCTCTTTTAATACAACAACTGCTGATCATGGCCTTCAGCAAGCTGGTGATATGTTTTTAATAAAGCACCTTCTGTTTTTTTAATAGCTCCCAATCTTAATTAATATCATCCCAATCATTTTTTTCTTGTCTTTCTTTGCCAACACAGGGATCCTGAAAACTGTAATTTTCTCTTTTTCATGGTCACATGTATGTCATATTTGTTGTCTTGAATTAGCATTTGAAGTCTGTTTGAAATAACCTGTACTGAAAATGCACTACTGGAGTATCACAACACTCTGTGGTTGGTCCCATGTTGTGTTTCTTCAGGCATTATATTAGTATTTATTTTTAGTAGCCCTGTTTATATTGCAGTCATTGTGTGATAACAAGCCACTGGCCTTGAGGCTGTAACACATTACTGTCCCAGTTGGTCCCTCCGGTTGTTTATATAGGATTTAAATGTGTGCTTTCACAGGAAGGTTGGGACTTCCGTGTGATACTGGTGTCAGTCCAAAAGGATTGAGTGTTTATGAGTAACTTACAAGTGCCAAAATAAAAGTTCTCAGGTAATGAGTGAGCCACTACCTCTGACTACTCTTGGGTTACACATTTAACACAGATCAATAACAGATTTGAACAATGCAGAATATGAATTCCTTACCTTAACTTAAAGTTATGTCATAAGAAATATGTGTTGCTTGTCATGCCAGTATTAATCACTATAAAGGCACACAAGCCAGTCATTTTTCTCTTCTTTGTGCAGAATGCCATAGTGTCCTTTAAAGAGCTGTGCGGCCTTTCAGCGGTGGCTAACCTGAAGCAGTGCATCTTAGCCCTTTCCCCTCGACTCACTGGAACTGACAACAGCCCCCTTCTGTTGTTCAACCTCGCTGAACAGTACCCCAACTTGGAGCCCCAAGGTCTGCTACCTGAGGTTCTCAAAAAAGTTGTCACTACCTATGATATGGTGAGTAGTTGTCTGGCAAAATTGTTCTTAAAGTGTATAAGGGGGAAGAAGTATGCGGAAGTTTTGTTAATGGATTTATTCCCAAAAATAAGCTTTTGTGGTTGATATTTAAATAAAAATAAAAACAGAGATGGTTAGGTAACGTGGTTGGTGCTCTGTTAAGTCATAAAATCAATGTGCACAAGTTATGCAACCTGCAATTGAGGCTATGCCAAGACAACACCATTTCCCTGAACACATCCTGTTTTTTAACATTGATTTTCAGCACATTATTAGAGGCTTCACATCATTATTTCAAGCACAAGGCTTATATGCCCCGGAAAAACGCAGTGGCAAAAGTAGAGCAACTAGTGAACTCCTTTGATTAATTTTGCATTCAGTAACTAGACCATATTTAATGAGATGTATCTCCATCTTTTTGGCTGTAACATTATGCCCTGAGAATATTTATTAAACCCTGGTTTAGTGTTTATTGGTACTGAACCGTCGATATACCAGGGCCAGTGTGCAGTTCACTCGGCAACACAAGTACATTGATGTAGATTGCAGATTGATGCACATAATGTGGAACCTAAGCTCCAAACGTGAGTTCAGAGTGGGGCTTCAAATGTTTGAATTCAATGAAGGTGGAACTAATTGAAAAACTCCGCTCATTGAAAAAAGTGTATATAGTTCTATATTAAAGTAACCCCTCTGCTGGACTCAGACTTGAGAGTAGAGGGCTAGTTAATTGGGGCTGATGGAAAGAGTGCCAGGAAAATTAAGTTAGAGGGAAGAAAGGAGAAAATTACAAGTGTTTGGGGAACAAAATCAAATAAATTAAAACAAGCGCTTAATTGATGTGAAACTGCAGGCCTTGACCGTAAGCAGAGTGCCTGAGGAGACGGAGCAGAAAGGAGCACAGCTGCAGGGGGGGATGAGAATACAGAGGCATGATCCAAGGAACAGAGCTAAAGAGTTGCAAATAATGTATGGCACAGTGCAATTAGAAATCCAGGCTCTGTGTCAAAACCCACCACTGGGAGTAACCAGGCTTTCACTTCCTAGTTGGCAAAAATAGAATCTAGGTCTCAATCCCCGCTCATTTGTGTGCCAAGGAAAAAAAGTGAGAGATATCAGCATGATGCCAGCTTGTGGTCTTAGATAATATGCTCTGATTTTTATTTTTGCTCGCAGCACATGAACTGAGGGCACAGCCTGTAAATAGAGATGAGTTGCGCATGCACTGTCTCTGAAAAACTGAACCGAGGGAAAACGAAGCCCATATGTTAGTTTTTGTTTTGTCTGAAAGGAAGCAGATATAATAATTTCTATGAAGCTTGGATATATTAAAACTTTATCATCATTTGCATAATGCGACTGCTAAGCTTACATCACCTTTTATATCAAATGACCATTTGCATATGTAAAATGTGGGAAGACATACAAATAATAATAGAAGTAAACATACTGTAGCACTTACAGAAGATGGTCTTTAGTGTGCAGATGGGGCACAGTCCACCCGCCTACCTTTAGACCGGGTCTTTAAATACTTCTGTGATTCTGTCTCTGCCACCAAGATGGTAATTTCTTCTCCCATGGGGGAAGTAATCACAGCGTGTGCGACAGCTCTAAGTGCCGCAACTCAGCTGCGGAGTGACACAAAACTGCCAGAATAATGAAGTCAGTACTGCTTTCAGCAGAACATGGTGATTTACTACATGGGTTTTAGAAACTGTTCTCCCTACAGAACATGATAATGGGATGGAATACATGTGATAATGCCAAAAAAAGGCTTAATGTTTATTTTTGTCATAGTAATGTAATGGTAGAGGTTATCATATGAACTCTACAGGAACATTTGAAAGCACAAAAATGTAATTGTACCAGATCACATGACAGTGGGACTTCAGTATTAAAAGCCTCAGTGGCAGATAAACTGTTTCCCTTCCTATGTGCTATTACATGTTGAGAGTCTAGCATGATTCTAGTTTTCAACAAATCTATTAAAACAACTAAAACCACAGTGTGGTACTTTCTGATTTCCTTATCCAGGCTTTGGACACTTTTTAAAAAGGCTCAGTAATTCATTTAAACAGCCGTGCTTTGTACTTTTCTAATAGGAATAGCTACAGTAGTGCGTGTGTTGTGCTCTTGTTATTATCTCCAGCAGCAGGATAGATTGTGTGGGATTGATTCAAAAATAAACCACAGTGCCAACATTGACAGTAATGAAGGAACATGTAAACCAGTGCAACACTGTGGCTCATTTATGAGTTTTTAATCGTTTTTTGATCCCAATGAAGGTCTTTGGCAATGAAAACTGAGCTATATTAGGGTATGCTCAATGAATTGTTGTATCAGTCTTTTTATTGGATTTCTAAAATAATAACAAAACTGATATATCACCAGGTGTTTATCTAAACTAAATTGTCTAAAGGATTCATAATGAGGGGGTTTCTAAATAAAACATGTTAATTTTTGTTTCTAAAATAATATTCCACCTTTCTTCTGTTCCTGACATTCTGTTGGATGAAAAACATATTTTTTTTAAGATTGAAAGATCCGTCAGACTCCCTATATACCTTACAATTATTTACCTCTGACTGTGACACGCTAGATATGCCTCATTAACCTGGTGAAACACTGCTGTGCTGTTGTGCAGGGCAGGTGCGTTGTTGGCATTTAATATGGAAATGAATTCCCAAAGTCTTCAAGTCTTTTTAACAGTCTGCAGGTCAGCAGAGTTTGTACTCAATTAAAGCTGGGCATAACGCCACAGGAGCTAAACTTTGCATCTTTCAAAGCTGCAATTTCACAGATAACACGGCGGTGTCCTGCTTCAAAATGACTCAAGGTTACGTTTACATCTTCTCTTCATATGATCTTGATTATCTGCCTTTTCTATTAAAGGGTTCATTTTTAAATGTCCCTGTAAATGAAGTTCATATCTCCGGAAAACCAGACAAGAGTTGAAAAAAGAAGTGACTTTTGAAAAACACCCTAATCGCTTGTGTCTCCGTCCCTCTAATTTTGGTTTTAAAAAATGCAATTCAGCGACCCCGCCCACTGACGTGCCTGTAATAACAGCTTGTTTCCCTGAGCCCTCCCTGGAGAGGAACACCCGGCCACCAGACGGAGACTGCTCCCTGCTGTCTTGTGGGATGCCAGTTTTTTCTGATGTTGAAATAAATGGCAAATCAAAACAATATATCTTGTCTCCTTTCAGGTGATCCAGACCAGCAAGACTCTGCTGGAGAGTTTTGAGGGGTTGTATGAGAGAATTCTACAAACCCAAAAATCAGGTAAGAAACGTCTTTAGATGTTGTTCTCCTTTGACATTAGACCACTCCTGAATATTGCCCACTGGCCCCACCATCTCTCTGAAGCCACACCACACAGATCACTCAATGGTATCCGACAGAACTGATTTTGCTTATTTGCATAAGTGTGGAATTACCATTTGAATCGGGTTCAAGAACCTGATCCTGTCACTGCTTCCCTTTGAAAAGCTGCGGTTTGGACAGAGGTGTTTCATTCATACCAGCGTCTGTGCTGTATTCTAATTACAAGGTTGGTTTAAGGTTCAGAGATGTGTGTGAGGGTTCAGAGATGTGTGTGAGGCGAGCAGATGGCAGTACATCTACTCTTCTCAGTTATAGTGAGGCCCAAAGTGTATGTGTTCATGCAGACCTAGCATTCTAGCCGATTGTAACCAAATGTACTCCATGCATCCGGAGTAAGATTGGCAGCTCATCAGTGGAGGCACTGCTGGATTAAAAAAATATATGCACACAGTCTTAAGAAACATTAGCATATGATGCTGTCAAATTACGGATACTTCTGGAGGGCAGTCTTTATTTTGCAAAATGTTTACTATGTAACAGGCTTTGCTGTCTGAACCTGTTAATGAGAAGGATTTCTTTTTTGACATTAATTAAATTTTTAATGCAGCACTGTCTGGCCTTGTATCCCATCTTAGTAGTTTTGAAAGCTAATGTATCCCTGAGTGAGCCGGCTAGAAGAGCTAAGTGAGGGTGGAGCGGGGGAGAGACGGACCATCATTACCGCAGCTCTGCTTTATTGGTTTCCAGCCGGATAGATTTATAAAATATTCAAATTCGATTGTCCTGGCACATCAGAGAGGAGGACTGTGTCTTTTAACCAATGCAATGATCAAAGGCTTTGTGCTGTTTTTTCCTTGGTGTTTTCATTTCGACCACCTTCCAGCCCGTAACAATTACCAGCCAGTGGTTTGGGGAAAATACTCTGTGATGTTGGACTTACTGGCATCAGAAAGATCCCTAAAATCTCTGCTCACATCTGTGCCACTGGGACTTATATTTCAACCATATTCCTTTTGGTTTAGATTTGGTTTTAGCATGGGTTTAAAATGGCTTATGTATGAAATAAGTGCCTTGTACTTTAGTCCTACAATACTCTCCATGTTCATCTTAACAGCCTGTGTCAGCATTTTTCTCATTCTATTTTAATGACAACCTGCTGTCGTGCCAGCAGTTTCAAATCTGCAGTGGGCAAATGTGTTGGCACAACATATACATATTACACATTGTTTGATGTATAGAGCACATGCGCATGTAGTTATTGCTCATCTTCCATGGGACTAATATGAGTCTCTCTTAAAATAGTATTCAAGCCTTAACCTGTTAAGCCCCAAGCCTGTTTTTCAGGTCTCAGACTCGAAAATGACATTTCCAGAACAAATTACCATAACTACACTTCTAAAAGGGGGAAATTAATAATCTTTTTTCTCAAAGTAATGATAAACATGTGAGTTGGATGTAGAAAAGTCAGAATCAATATAGATGTTTTTTATTTTAAAGAAAAAAATGCAATTATAGTGTCCGTCCAAAAATTATTTTTTACTTATAGTGAAAACAACCCTTGAATGATGGGATGGTAGACTAAAAGCTTTAGGAATCCAAAGTACAACATATGATAAGTACCCTGTATCAAGATTGATGCAAAACAAGTGACATTTAACCTTTTTAGAGAGGTTTAGAAAAAAGAAACTCCACCTCTGGGGTCATTTGGGTGGAAATGGGCGTTTTTGCCGTTTCTCTGGAACCCATTGGTCGATTTTGATGATTGACATCTCTTTTTAACCGTTAGAGCCAATAGAATCGAAGGGGAATTTCCACATACACACCAACGTTACCATTGAGAAGTGGGGGCTATGCGCACGCAGTTTGCCTAAAGCGAAACGCTTTGAAATCTGAAAACTTAAAACTAGGTTTATTGCTGATGGATTATCAGAAATCATTTCAAAGTGACACAGACACATTGGATTAACCTATGGATTAACCTTCAGCAACGTTTTTATCGTTTTAATGCCATTGAAGACCACTTTTGATCAGACAACGACAAAGGTAAGACATATTGCCGTGTTTGCTACCTAATGCCACGTGTTGTGATGTCTGTTTTTGTTTCTCATTTCACGAGTTCTTATCATGGAGTGACGATACGGATACATATCGATTCTGTGTATTCTCACGATGCTAGTCGAGGGGTTGGATTTGCATTTACGATAAGTAATAAGGGTTTTATGAGTGAGTTCTGTGCTAACGGCGTTAGCATTGTTTCGCTCAGGGCTAATTCAGAGGCTCAGCGTTAGTCTTGTGTTTTTTTTTGCTAAAAATGGTTCATATCATCAGTTAGCTGAGTTTCTTCCCGTTACATGGATATGAAACATTCATAGTTTATTAAATATTAAGAAGTCCTCAGCCGCTGTTTCCTGCAGATGATGCGTTTTTCCGCCCGGGGGGTGGGCAGATGGGGTTCAACAGGTTAAGGAAAGGTCTGCCAGACATTATGTCGTATATATCTCCACAAAATGGCATTTCATTGTCAGTAAAGTCCTGTTTGAGGTCAGATGACAGTCGTTTAATGAGTTGATGACAACAGGATTTTATGTAACAGTAGTTCTACACAATGAGTCCTAGCTAGCCCTGATTGATAAACATCTTGTCAAAGGGAATTATTCCTTTTTGTAAAAGAATAGTTAAGAAAACTTCCACAGAAGCATTGTGGGGTTTTGGTCAAAGCACCATTTATATACAATTATATAATATCAGGAGGGGAACCGTCAACAACAATTGCAAACTGGGACACAACTGATGAACTTGTTCATTGATATATTTTCCAATCCAACATACACCATTTGTGTGTGTGCGCTCTTGTTTGTTGGTATTTCAGTGCAATCATGGTTTGTCTGTTGGGTCGAACTGGGTCAGTGCAAACCCAATTCCCTCTCTACAGCAAGTGGAACATTCAGCAGAAGCAGCTTTTAAAGTTGTGAATAACCCATCACTTGAGCTCAGATGGGTCGTGTGTTCCCCTAAGAAAATAGACCGACATGAAGGCAGACTCAGGGATCACAGTCAGGTGTTTGCTGCTTAAAGATGGATGTCACTTCCCACCCCCGACTTTCACTTTATGTCCCAATTAGCATTCAAGGCATATGGAGGGCTGCACCTGCTGCAGACTAACAAGATCAGTACAGAAGATGTTCTTAAATGCCAACTGCAAAATAATGGTGTGGCTTTTCAGTGACATTCTGCAGAGAACAAAGCAAAGGGCCATTACTGCGTTAGATATGTTAAAGTCCCCTTCAAAGTGGATTGAACCTTTTTGTTTCATTCTTATTGGTGAAATGCTTTGTGCCACATCGCCTCCTGGATGGTGCTTAAAATTATAGTTAATATTAGAACTGAGATTATTTTACAACTAATTTGATTAATAATCTATTGTTTTAGTTGGTTAGCTGGTTTCCACTTCTCAATGTAAGGGTGTCCTGTCTTTCTGTGACATACGGTATGATGGTGATACAAGATAAGAGAGACTAAGGACTTAGAACTTTATTTATACCGAGGGAAATTATTGTGCAGTGGTGGCGAAGAAAAAGCGCAGCTAAAAGCAAAATACAAACAATAAAATATCTATTATAATGTTTGATAACCAAATGTACACAAGGACAGAAATATAAATGGTAAGCATCACAAATATAAACTGGTTAACAAGTAGCAAATCCAAAACCCATAGGGTGTTAAAAGTAAACAGAGGTGATCATAAAAATGTCAATACAAGAAACATTCAACACTCTTTTCAAAAATATAGCGGGTTCATGTTAGAAGACCACATAAATGTATAAGAAGTGGCATTTAGATATTTCTGTATCATTAAATACAGGTCAGTGTACAGGGTTGATTTGAAAATGTTCAATGACCATGTCAATAACAAAGACTGTATGGTCAATAACAGAGCATCATTTATTTCACATCATGATCGATTGTGTTACTTTAGTCCATTAGTTGTTATCATTGAATATCATTAGTTGTTATCATTGAATGTCTTTGGGTTTAGCACTATTCATAAAAAAACGTTTCATAGACTAACTCAGGTCCTCCTCCTCTGACCCTCCTCTTTATACTGTAGTTGTTTCATGCTTGTCATCTTGCAGCATTACTTCAGAGATCAGCGTCTGAAATGCTTGCTGAGAATGAGCTTCCCAATTTCTTTCTTTCTTGCCGGCCAGACTCCATCAAATGTTGCTAGGCAACGTGTGTGTGTGTGTGTGTGTGTGTGTGTGTGTGTGTGTGTGTGTGTGTGTGTGTGTGTGTACCTTCTTCAGCACAGTCACGGTCCATGTGCACAGCAGCAGCAGCAGCTCTTTAGTTACAGAATAGCAGCCTGAGATGAAGAGAGAAATGACATGTTGTTAGGAACACAGGAAATGGACAGAGCACGTGTGATGTCAGGAGATAATGGATGTGTCAGTAGATTTGTATCAGGTGTGTGAGGTTGTATTCACGCAGCTGAGAGGCTCCGAGGCAGCCCAACCCCACGCCTATAATGGCGACTCCACATGAGGGGGGTCGTGTGCACACCACGTTTCCATGGCAACAGCACCAACAGGGGCCAGGGCCCACTCCAGCTGATATAAGCGCTTCGGGCGGTAATGCAGGCATTCTTGCTTGGAATTTCCAGCATTATAAAGTGATGGGCTGCTGTGTCTAGCAGGAACTCCATCTCTCTGGTTTATTTACCTCACAGGCTGTGTTTGCCTGTTGCTGCAGTGTCAGCACTGCACTGTAAAGGCCATATCCACATTAAAGATGTCCTTACTCAGACTCAGTCATGCAGAGGGGAAGAGAGGAGGTGGGAAAGCTCCTCAGGAGACAAATCCGTCCTCTGTTCGATGCCTTGATGCTAATCCACACTGAAAGAACGTCATGTCTGTCTGCCTACGCTGCACCGCTCCTCTGCCTTTCTCTGCGTTTCCGGGGCTTTCTCTTCCCTCTCATCCTGCCTCCTTCAACTAGGCTTTTTGTTCTCTGCCTTTGATTTATCTTGCCTATTTGCTTTCTTTCTTCTTCGTTTTTTTTTTACCAATTCACTGCTGTCCCTTAAAATCCCATCAACACCTCGCTGGGATGTGCAACTCTGCCTACCATCCAATAACATTTCACCCTGGGATATAGAGTTATGATGTGTGCAAGGTGTTGCTGACAGAGGTCACACATGCTCACCAAACTGTTCCTGGTTAATAGTAACACTGTCATGAAAATGAATGCAACACTGTTGTTAAAGCAAATAGGAGTCTCGAGAGAAACAGGATGTAAGGAAGGCACTATCAAGTTAGCTATCAAATAACTGTCACTTTACACTTCCTCTGCCTTTTTCTAAGGGTTGCTTGACAAGATATTAACATTTCGATGGCAGGTGCTTGCACAGTTTTATTCCTTCATATCTTGCATCCAACCCTCAGCTTTCCTCCTTTAATTGTTCAGAAATGTGCACTTCAGTCAGAGTTAAGATGCACACAGCAGCTCCTGCGATCCTTTATCACCCTGCAGACGTACAGTAATGAGAGGAGTCCTCCTCCACAGCCAGAGGGTCTCTATTCTGTACTTCCACATACTCTACCCTTCTGCTGCAGCAGCACACTGTGAAATGTTGACAGCAATGCCACTGACTTTAGCTCTAATGTGTTTCCTCACAGTGACACAGTGCCTAGCACCCAGTCAGAGCTCCCAGACTTCAGTCACCTCGCAGCTGCTCTTCTGTTTCACAAACCGCCACAAAAAGTCTGACTCATTCTCATCTGTCTTTTTCTCGCAGCGATGGAGTTCCACGAGAACCTCCATGACTTGGCTGTGAAGGAGGGGCTGAAGGGCAGGAAGCTGCACAAGGCGGTGGAGAGCTTCACCTGGAACATCACCGTGCTGAAGGTGAGATTATGGACACTGGTGACACCAACCTTGTGTAGCCTGTTTACTGCTACTACAGTAGCTGCCATTCTCTTTGAATCCCAATATATCTATCTACATGTGGCATTTCGTCAAAAAGTTGGTTTTAAATGTAAACACAAGTGTGTAATATGAATGTCTAAAGTATACTTATACGGCAAGTTGCTTTTTTTTATCACTTATATGGGCAAGGCAAGGCAAGTTTATTTATATAGCACCTTTCAACACAAGGCAATTCAAAGTGCTTTACAAAAAACGAAAGACATTAAGAAAATGGCATTTAAAATCAGTCATTAAAAAGAAAAGATAATAAAATAAACATTAAAAGAAAAAATACATGGATAAAAGTTACAGTGCAGTTTAAGATGTAAATAGTTCAATTAAAAGCAGCGGTAAAAAGAAAAGTCTTTAATCTGGATTTAAAAGTGGTCAGAGTTGCAGCGGATCTGCAGGTTTCTGGGAGTTTGTAAGCTTTCTTTCCGCACATGCAACCATGAATATTTTTTAACCATATTAATTTGTACCAAAACATTAGTGCAATACAAAAAACCTACTGATAAATTACCAAATCACGAATAATGTAATTATTTATATCCGGAGGCAATATTATGCCATACACCGGTGTTTGGTGAGTCCCTAGTCTAAGCCGCTCTGAAACACCACGCCTATTGTTTCAACCTCCACAGCCAACACAAGGGGTAATTATTGATGAATAACCTCCTTCATATTTATATATGGCATTTGCACGTGTTAATTAAGATTACCACACGAGTAGCTCAGCTATAATTTATACTTTGTCCCCGGGCAATTGAGTTGAGTCAGGCAAGTATGTGTTATTCTTTGTGCATGCTTCATTTTCTGTCAATGTTTAATCTGGTGCTTTGCTTATATGGATCTTATTGTTGGCAGACGTACTACTTAAAGACTTCAGATTTTTTATGAACACTAAAAGTACATTAGGTTATTGACTGAAGGTCTTGAAGCTTATAAAATGGCAGCTATCCAATAAAGCTTTAAACTCAATACAAATAGATTTCAAAGACCATTTTCATGAGCTACACCACACTGCTGGGTTCACCTAGCTTCTTGTGATTCAGATCGAGGTGTCCATTGTGTCAATCTCATTATGGCTCCTGTGTGACAGGAATATCCACAACACTTTGGCACCTGGTGTGAAACTCAGAAATGAATTGCCTGTGAATTCCATAATAAGGTTACATCAATTCCAGATCAAAAATCTGCTGCCTTTTTTCTAATAACAGAGCACAAGCATAGGGTGATAAGACTATTGGACTCTTTTGTATTTGTATCTGCTTAGATGCTTCAGGTTAAGTACTTTGCATGATATTCAGAATTTCATTTATGCAGAAATCAAAAGTAAATATATGGAGGCAAAGTGCTGATCCCATTATTGTTGTGAGAGTTCTATCTTTGTTTTTGAGGAAAAACAATTATAGACTGATCTAAAATGAGAAGAATCTTCTGTTTTATGGTTTATTGATAACAGATTTTCGCATAAAAGGAGTTTATTGACAGATTTAGAGTGCTTGAGATGAGCATTACCTCTCTCTGTATTTACCTTGTTCTGCTATGGCCTGAACGTCAGTGTGACGGCATTTAATTCAGACTTTTGCCAACATTTAGAATAAGGTGTTAATACATACATACTTTAAGAGAGAGTATTATGTCTTAAGAATAACACAATAAAAATAAAACGTTTAATACGGAAACTTTTATGACATTTTTATCCTCAGGACGGGCAGCTACTAACATTTTCAGGGACAACATTTTAAAAGCTGCTGTAACTCTTTGATCTGTAATCCCCCCCCAGGGTCAGGCAGACCTCCTGAAGCACGCCCAGAGTGAAGTCCAGGAGAACCTGCGGCAGATCCACTACTCTGCGCTCACCTGTAACCTGAGTAAAGGCGCTCTCGCGGGGGGTTCCTCCGGCTCCGAGTCCAGAGGCAGACGCAGCATGGATGCCATTGCTGAGAAGGCCACTGCGGAGGAGGAGCTCACTGATGAGGACAACTGAAGACCCACAATCCTGTTCTGCCTGGCTCACAGACTTCTACTGTTCCTGCCCCCTGAGCTCAAAACCCAAAGCTCTTGCTCGCTCCGTTAGCATTCTGCAGCGTCATCGCTCTACACACAACAGTGTTTTTCCCACATTCCATCGTGTACATTCCTGTATCACAAGCACAGCTGTAACTTCTCAGCCTTGTAATCATCAATAAAATGCCACAACTACCCCAGGACACAAATCCTTCCCAAGTTCCGATCACGGAAGGTTTCGACAGGTTTTGAAAAATGACTGATTATTTCTACGTCTTAATATGTGAAGGAGCTGTACTGAAAGCTGGAAGAGTGTGAAACGTGATGCTGCCTAGCCATTAAGTGCAAAATCATATATACCAAAGCATCCAGCAAACATGTGGAAAGGGACACTTGGAGAAATACTGAGGATGATCATAGTGCCAGACATAAATCTTAAGTCTACCCAGAATAAAACTCACAAACGTCTTCATCTTCAGTCCTGATTCATGCGTTCGTTGCCTTCCCTTCATTTCGCTGTCACGGAATCACATTTCCTGGGGAGGCGAATAAACTACCAGCTACGTGACCATTCATGACTTTGACCTACTGTTCAGAGACGGTGCACTTCTACTCAACGGACCAGGGTGTTACTCGAGGAAATAAAAAATAAAAGAGCCCTTGGATTATTATAAGACATTTCTTAAAGCACAATTTTTTGGAAATATGAATGTAAAAGGACAAAAGGAGCGAAAGAAGTAAAGGAAAAAAGTGGACGTAAACGTCATGAATGAGAGTAAAGAGCTGTTTACAATTGTCCTGTCTGCCAAAATAGTCACATATATGTATATATAGAGTTTCCTGTTCCCCTTTTTTTCTGCAGAGTGCATCATTTTATTATTGTATACTTGGGAATATAAGATTTATTTTATAAAAGATATATGAACTTGTCTGTGGAAAAGGGAGACATTTTATCTGTGCGTACATAACGAGGGTTGTCACTTAAGAAAAGTGACCTCAACTTCAACTGCTAGTGGTGCAAAAACAACCAGCAACGGCATGAAGAGGAACAACGACTGGGTGATGATAACTTGGACTCAAACAGCCTTTTATCTGCTTTAATTATTTGGCCTTTATTTTTGGCCATGGTCCTCCCATTTCACATCGCTAAAAGAGTTTGAGCAAAATCAAATTAAATGTTTCGACGGGGGGATTTCACGAAAGGATTGCGTGGCTTGCATCGCATCAACAAACTGCGCAGCCAAACAAGTAGCTTTTGGGTTGCTCTGGTGCTATATGCATGTGTTCATAGTTAGCTAACATGCATACTTTAGCACACATTGGCATCTGTGTAAATGAGCCTTGCTAAAACAGTGCAATTCTCAATGATCAGTGATAACCACTCGCAGCTAAAGTAAAATGACTAGTGGGTTCAGAGACTTGGTGGTAGACACTCCCAGACTCTCCACTAAGAGTTTGTAGCCAGGCTTAAACTCATTTATTTTGGGATGCTTTAACAGGAGGCAATGACAGCTGTGTGATTAAAAATAAATGAATAGAGCTCCCCTACATGTCATCTTTGAAATTACATCTAAAAGTTCAATAAAGTATTATATAAAAAAGGATTTCTTCCTTTTCCCTCCACAAGAAAAACGTGTATTGGACTCAAAACTTTATGGGCATTTAATTGCGAACTTAAGGTGCAAATAAAATAAAGTAAAATAATGCGCAATCCATATTAGCCGCTGCGATTTACTTTTGGAAGTATTAAACGTATGAAAGGTGTATTTTTCAGGTGTGCTCCCAACATGTATTATTTAAAACCCCAATGTGGAAATCGGGTTAAAAAAAAAAAAGTTCCCGCGATGTTTCTACTTTGCGACTGAACGGGAGCTATGTACAAACAACTCTAATTGTGCAGTTAAAAATGTCAGTCCAGATCTTGTGCTTTACTATGCTTCATCTTGCTGTTGGTGTGGATCGAAGTGGTTCCTGTCTGAGTTGCAACACTTTATTAACCCTTTGTCAGAATTTTAACTCAGGTTGTTGAAAAGATGGTTTGGAAGGATATGAACTTCAGAGTAATATAAGCTTTCCTTGTGAGTAAATACTACCTGACCCACAATTACCCTGTGATTCAACGTGCCACATTACTGCTTACTAAATGTCTGCATCAGTTCATGTTTATTTAAATGAAGGTATTTAGGTTTACAAAAACAGGACAACAATTTGAATAACTTCATGTAAAATAAACTAAAAGCCTGTGTTTGTACTCTACGTAGTATTTATTTAATTGACAACTAATCCAAATAGCATTTTGTTATTGTTGACTGATGTGAAATGTAGCTGCCTGAACTAATGATAGCTAGTTTTTCAACTGATACGCTTAATTAGATTAGACTGTTTGTCATAATGCATTTGAAGTTTAATTTGTTGCAATATAAAAACTGAAGCCCTATATTAGGCTTTAACACTTAAAGAATAACATGTTAGTAGATACTCAGTTTAAAGCCTACTTTAAGTCTAGCAGTTAAAACATGTTTAGGTTAACTGATTCCAAGTGTTGCCTTAAAATATTTCCATAAATGCTCGGTAGGCGTGACATGACAAGTCAACATATTGATCACCAGCAAGAATTCAATGACTTGAGTTCACTTAGGAATATCCAAAACGACAATAATTATGAGCATTGTGACTGTTAAATGAAGCCCAACCATCTTTTCATCTGCAATTGTCAGCTTTTATACCTATTATTTTGCCCCTTAGTGCTCACAATGCAAGTACTACAGATCACATGACCACTGAGAAGATGAAAAATGTTATCTCTGAATTTCCGTGCTGTGCCACTCAACGTATTTCTGATTGTTGATGAGAGGATCAAAGCATTTAAACTGTAATCCAGTCTCACATCATCTATCAAGTCCAAAAAAAGAACCTTTGAATAAACAATGTTGGATCGATCTGTGTGTCTGATGTCTTTTCTAATTAAATTATTTATCCTGACAACCGTACGTACTACGTATATCTTTACATCCTGTACTGACCAATCAGATGTTGCTCTACTGCAGCGGTGTCCAAACATTTTATACAGACAAATATACAAAGGGCTGGGCCCTCACTAGAGGTGATGTATATTGGCTCATACATTAATGTATAAGTCGGCAAAATGAATCAAATGTAAGTAAATTGTTCAGACATCACAGCTCTCCTTAGGGTTTCAATTATTTTGTTGGTAGCTCATTCCTTACAACAGAGGTGTCAGATTGCTTATCATACGGGGAAATATGAAGGGTATATTTCAAGCTTGTTATGAAAATAAGTTATTGAGCTTTTTTCGTATCAACTTAGATTTGTTAGAAAAATGTTTTCAGCTTTAATTGACTGAATGTATTTGAAAAGTGGGCTTATTAACACATGAATACTACTGTATTATATCTGTTTACTTACAGTGGGGCAAAAAAGTATTTAGTCAGCCACCAATTGTGCAAGTTCTCACTTAAAAAGATGAGAGAGGCCTGTAATTTTCATCCTAGTAGTATACCTCAACTATGAGAGACAGAATGAGAAAAAAAAATCCAGAAAATCACATTGTCTGATTTTTAAAGAATGTATTTGCAAATTATGTTGGAAAATAAGTATTTGGTAAATAACAAAAGTTAATCTCAATACTTTGTTATATACCCTTTGTTGGCAATGACAGAGGTCAAACATTTTCTGTAAGTCTTCACAAGGTTTTCACACACTGTTGCTGGTATTTTGGCCCATTCCTCCATGCAGATCTCCTCTAGAGCAGTGATGTTTTGGGGCTGTCGCTGGGCAACACAGACTTTCAACTCCCTCCAAAGATTTTCTATGGGGTTGAGATCTGGAGACTGGCTAGGCCACTCCAGGACCTTGAAATGCTTCTTACGAAGCCACTCCTTCGTTGCCCGGGCGGTGTGTTTGGGATCATTGTCATGCTGAAAGACCCAGCCACGTTTCATCTTCAATGCCCTTGCTGATGGAAGGAGGTTGTCACTCAAAATCTCACGATACATGGCCCCATTCATTCTTTCCTTTACACGGATCAGTGGTCCTGGTCCCTTTGCAGAAAAACATCCCCAAAGCATGATGTTTCCACCCCCATGTTTCACAGTAGGTATGGTGTTCTTTGGATGCAACTCAGCATTCTTTCTCCTCCAAACACGTCTAGTTGAGTTTTTACCAAAAAGTTCTATTTTGGTTTCATCTGACCATATGACATTCTCCCAATCCTCTTCTGGATCATCTAAATGCTCTCTAGCAAACTTCAGACGGGCCAGTACATGTCCAGGCCCTAAGCAGGGGGACACGTCTGGCACTGCAGGATTTAGAGTCCCTGGCGGGTATAGTGTGTTACTGATGGTAGCCTTTGTTACTTTGGTCCCAGCTCTCTGCAGGTCATTGATTAGGTCCCCCCGTGTGGTTCTGGGATTTTTGCTCACCGTTCTTGTGATCATTTTGACCCCACGGGGTGAGATCTTGCGTGGAGCCCCAGATCGAGGGAGATTATCAGTGGTCTTGTATGTCTTCCATTTTCTAATAATTGCTCCCACAGTTGATTTCTTCACACCAAGCTGCTTACCTATTGCAGATTCAGTCTTCCCAGCCTGGTGCAGGTCTACAATTTTGTTTCTGGTGTCCTTTGACAGTCTTTGGTCTTGGCCATAGTGGAGTTTGGAGTGTGACTGTTTGAGGTTGTGGACAGGTGTCTTTTATACTGATAACGAGTTCAAACAGGTGCCATTAATACAGTTAACAAGTGGAGGACAGAGGAGGCTCTTAAAGAAGAAGTTACAGGTCTGTGAGAGCCAGAAATCTTGTTTGTTTGTAGGTGACCAAATACTTATTTTACCGAGGAATTTACCAATTCATTCATTAAAAATCCTACAATGTGATTTCCTGGATTCTTTCCCCCCATTCTGTCTCTCATAGTTGAAGTGTTCCTAGGATGAAAATTACAGGCCTCTCTCATCTTTTTAAGTGGGAGAACTTGCACTATTGGTGGCTGACTAAATGCTTTTTTGCCCCACTGTATATATTTAAGAAGTAAAAGAGAAGCACAAGTTTCATTTGAGGGCCATACTGCATTATCGTTTTTTTAATTTGCTGAGGGCCGATTCAAAATTGTCAATTAGTTTGGACACCCCTGCTCTACTGTATTGGTTGTTACTGAGAAATTGTAAGGTCTGTGAAAGCCTCCCTGCACCCGGTCGATGCTCTGGACCTCCAGTCTCCTCCAGGCTGCACCATGTTGGACCTTATACAGACTGACCTCAGCACTGCCATTACTGTACATTCATGTACTTCCCCATTGTAGGTAGCTATGACAAGTAATACACTGCACTTTATTTCCTCTTCACTTGCTCTTCTTGAAAGAAGAAAATCACTCTTGGGTAAAATGTCAATCTGAGGTCAATGCAATATTTCAGCGTGGTTCTTTCCATCCTAGAGGCCTATATCTAACATTGGCTAATATTAGCTCCTAATACAGAAATGTAAGCACAATCTTCTGCTGCTTTTATTCCAGGTCTCTCTCAATTCACACAATGCAGCCCAGTGCAACAAAATGCTAAATGTTGCCCAAGGTTATTAGCGTGGAGAATGCTGTATACTGTATATGTGTGTTAGTCACGTTTCCTGCACGGACACTTGAGTCATTATTTATATATTTCTAAGGATAAAAACAGTAAACCTATTCCTTGCTCTCTGCTGTGTTTCCAAAGCTGGAGGAGTGCATGCATCAGTATTGATCAGCACCCTTTGTGGTGAGTAGAGCAGAGAGCCAGGGGAAATAAGGCTTCTCACACACACACACACACACACACACACACACACACACACACACACACACACACACACACACACACACACACACACACACACACACACACACACACACACACACACACACACACACACACACACACACACACACACACACACACACACACACACACACACACACACACACACACACACACACACACACACACACACACACACACACACACACACACACACACACACACACACACACACACACACACACACACACACACACACACACACACACACACACACACGCACGCACGCACGCACACACGCAGAGGTAACAGGCAAAAGCATGCAGCGTTCTTTACGAACATGCCAGCTGTGCAGTTACTGGCCAGCATGCATAAACTTTATTTGTATAGCGTGACACAAAGTGCTTTTCACAGTACATTTAATTTAGGGCTCCAGCATGTAAAAGCTCGATCACGGGAACGTTTAAGAGATTCGAATGTGGATCTAAGATTATGAATTTGTACATAAAAATAAAAACCTAATCCAAGCCGACACTGAGTTTTCTTTATAACTGAATTCTTCGAGTCACTTTTTGTAATCAGCTGGCAGGCAGAGTATTAAATAAAGGAGTTAACCTTTATGAACTCTCCTTATCAAAAGTTAAAAGCCTACCTGTCCTATCCCTCACTGATAAGCCATGCAAACATAAATACATAAGACTGTTCCTGCTGCTCTACTGCCTCAGCAGAAGGCTCAGCAATTAGCTAAATGCGTGTAAAGAACATGTAAACTGACCAGAATGGCCCTCTAATGCTCCCTTTAAAGAGCTGTTTTACAAGCCGTACTGTAAGGGTACTGTGGGTTTACTGAAATGGATTTTACTAGCTATAGGGGGGTTTGAATTAAGGGTTTCTGTTTGCACCTTTCAAGCTGTAGATGGCCCTTGTTACAAATCATTAAACAATGTTCTATAATGTCATTACTGCAGGTCTCTTTCTAATGTTACCAGACCACCATCAAGTCTTCAGATAAACAGAAATGGATTTGTTCAAACACTTATCGGGCACATGGCAAAAGTGCATGTTTAGTTTAGCAACTGTAAGTGAAATAAAGGTAAGTCAAATAATAATAGTACAAATAAAAAACAACCAATTGTCTCTTCTAATCTACAGACAGAGAGAGCAGCACTTTGTAATTAATACAAACACTAAATACAAACAGAATAAACACCGGATTGAATAATATAAGACTGAACTAAATTCAATTAAATTAAAAGCCAAACTGTAAAAGTGGTTCTTGTTGGTATGAAGAATCTCTTTCAGGGAGGTTGTTCTACAGGATCTTTGTTTAAAATGTAAGTAAATAAATGTTAATATCGGAAAGCAGTTCTAAACTTGTAGAGGAGGCTTGCAAAAAATATGAGATTTATTCTGGAGTGCTTTGACAGTAAACATGGTCTGGAATGAATCAGCCGTCACAGAGAGCCTCCTCTCCAGCACAGATTCCCAGAAGTAAGCAGCGCAGACGATGGATGGATGGACGGATGAGTCTGGTCCTGAGCGCCATGTCTGAACTTAAATCATCATCTTCGTGTTTACAGCAGAGCGGTGGCACTCAGACTAGCTGTGCGGGAAATGTTTGGACAACGTGTAAAACAGAAGGCTGTGCAGCGCATGCCCTCAGTGAAGATGCTTTCTGTTTAAATCATCCAAGTCCATGTCACCGTCTCCTGTCGTAACTCCAGCGCTGGCAGCACAGTGTGTCACCGCTGCTGGGTGAGTTCACTGCAGCCAAACAGGGTCGACACACCATGACAGCCTCCAGATACCTTTTACAAATGAGGTCCCAAATGGAGTAAAGGTCAGTGAATGCATCAGTCAACCCACATTCCTCTCTCTGTAACACCTTGTTTCCTCTTCTCCTCTTCTTAAATCGTTTCCTCAGGTTATTGATCCACCCTTTGTTCCTTGCACTGAACGCATCACTCTCATTTCAGAAATGTAGCCAAGCATCTGTGAAATGTCATCCAAGATATCACCAAATGTTCCCAAAACCTACGGTGGAATCTCCCAAATTCCTTTTTTTATCAAACAATCAATCCAAAGCCTTAAGATGTTTGGTTTACTACTATGCTAAACATTCAAGAAAGTATCAAA